GGGGGGGCGGTGCGTGGGCAGGGCGGCCGCGCTCACCGCCCCGTCCCGTCCCGCAGGGATGCGGAGGACGCCGTCTACGGGCGGGACGGCTACGACTACGATGGGTATCGCCTCCGCGTGGAGTTCCCTCGGAGCGGCCGGGGCACCGGCAGAGGAGGCGGCGGCGGCGGAGGAGGCGGAGCCCCCCGGGGCAGGTACGGCCCCCCGTCCCGGCGCTCGGAGTACAGAGTGATCGTCTCGGGTGAGTCATTTTCTCTTTTTCTATCGGCCCAAACGCTCCCCCGGGGTCTTCCGGGCAACCTTCCCGGCCGGGGAGGGGGGATACAGCTCCGGGTTGCTTCTTAAAAAGCATCGCCTCACGTAGCCTGGTGTGTAGGGTGCAAACGGCTCCTCCGGGCAGCCCGTCTGCTTGCTAAATAGTCCCTTTTGTTTGCTGCGAGCTGATGGTGCAACTACGGAAGATGGGAATATAATCCGAATGTAATGCTCTTGGTTTTCATCATATAGGGCTGCCTCCAAGTGGAAGTTGGCAGGATTTAAAGGATCACATGCGTGAAGCAGGTGATGTATGTTATGCTGATGTTTTCCGAGATGGCACTGGTGTCGTGGAGTTTGTACGGAAGGAAGATATGACCTACGCTGTGCGAAAACTGGATAACACTAAATTTAGATCTCATGAGGTAGGTTTCATACTTACTTTCTTTGGCCAGAAATGGATACAAGGGGCTTAACAGTAGGATTCGAAGGTAAGGAACGTGTGGTGTTCGTTTGTTTATATACAAAGCAGCTAAATAAGCCTGTGGTCACTTTGTCAGGAGATAGACTTTAAAGCTTTGCTGTCTATTTCCGTGCTGTAGTAAAACAATATCTTCAGTCTGTCAGCATGCCTAAAAAAAGATGGCCCTAAAGCCTAGACTTTTCAATCGAAAGTTCTGTCTATTCAATAGGGAGAAACTGCCTACATCCGTGTTAAAGTTGATGGCCCAAGAAGCCCAAGCTATGGAAGATCTCGGTCACGCAGCCGTAGTCGTAGCAGAAGCCGTAGTCGAAGCAACAGCAGAAGCCGCAGTTATTCCCCAAGAAGAAGCAGAGGATCTCCACGCTACTCTCCCCGCCACAGCAGATCCCGATCTCGTACATAAACGATCACTAGCTCTGATCTTTTTTGTAGAACCCCATGTTGTACACAGTTTTCCTTTACTTAGTACAGTCTTTCATTATTATTTTTTTTTTTTTTAAAAAATTCAAACTGTTTTATTCGAATTGGCTGAAAAGTGTTGAATTGCATTCTTGTGTAAAATCCCTAGTGAGTATTTGCTCCTTAACATCAACATTCCCCTCATGTCTTTGGTAAATTGTATTTTAATTGCTGTCAGTCAGGATTGTTTCGATTTAGTTCTAGTTAAAAAAAAATACCAACATTCTTCGAGCTGTGGTATTGCTGTGTAAATGTCTCAGTGTTCAGCTATGGTTTATACGAGCTGGGGATGTTGGGATGTTTGTGGCTAACTTGTCTCTTCTGGGGGATCTTATATTTTATCTTGCCTTTTCGTGTGTCTTTCTGTAGACATATCTGAAGAGATGGATTAAGAATGCTTTGGATTAAAGGATTGTGGAGCACATGTCAATCATTTTAGGATTGTCAAAAGGAGGATTGAGGAGGATCAGATCAATAATGGAGGCAATGGTATGACTCCAAGTGCTATTGTCACAGATGAACTTGGCAGTATTGACCTTATACTGAGAGACAGGTTAATTGAGTACGTGCACCTACGTGTCACTTCAGGCATGTTCTAGTTATTACCGCAGACTACAATTGCTCTTTTCTTTAAAACTCTTTTTTTTGGGGGGGCAATTGTGGCTAAGTACTTGCTTTTGTAATTAATCTTAACTCCATTCTAGTTTTTGGGGTTTTTTTTTAAAGGAATAAACTGGGACGGGGGTGGGAGTATTGGTTTCCTTTGTCATGCAGCATTTGGTTACAAGTGTTAATGTTAATGTAGTATTCGTACACTTGTAGTAGATCAAGGGTATCTTTAAATCAGAGTATAATATCAATACTGCTAAAATCTGCATGTCCTCTGTGTGACTGATACAGCGTTGCTATTGCATTTTTATAAGTATCAGAATGAAAGGAAAAAAAAAAAAATAGAAAACCTAGTTGGGGAATAACTTTTCTTAAATGTCAGCCCTGCCCCCTCAGACTAATTCACTGCTGTGTTTGCAAACCTCTGGGTAGTTAATGTTGTTGCCTTCCAGCTGGGAGCGCTGGCTCTAGGTCAGGCCTGCAGCAGGTGGAGAGCTTTAGCGTTAAGCTTTTCCAGTTTCATAAACATTTTTTGCGACCACAAAACCTGTAGCAACCACCACCGTACGAGCAATGAGTATGTTGGCATTTTCCCTTGACATATTGTAAATATTACGATGTTTCCTCCGAATAGTAATTAACATTTCTTTTAAAAAAAAAAAAAAAGAAAAAAAAAATTTATCTGAGCATCGCCATTCAAAAGTTTGTTTTGGGGAATTGATAGTTATTAATGTACATCTGTATTAATTGATGGCAAACATAACTCATCATTCCCCAGAATCCTATTTTTTCATTACAGTATCTAACTTTTTGCCTCCTCTTTTTTGGTTTTGCTGGTTATAAAGGTTTGGATTGGAGAGGGCTCACTGGATCCCAATCCTTGGAGCTGGATCATTGGATTCAAATCATAATGTGGATAGGATAGGGAGGCTGAATTACAAGGATTCATGGAGCGGGATCAAATTACCAGGAACATAGGAGTGGATTCCTGCCCCAACCAAACCGCATTCGTGTGGATTTTTTTTTATTCAACTCAATTGGCTATTCCAAAGATACTTTTTTTTGTGTTTTTTTTCCTATTTTTGACGATTGGAGCCCTTAAGATGCACGATGGAGTTTTGCATTTTTTTGGTAAAAGGAGCAAAGCGAGGACCTGGAGAGGTACGCTGGAGCAATCTCCTTGGAAGGATTCAGCACGAGTAGATGGTAAACGTTAAAGGGGAAAAAAAGGGGGGTTTGTTTAAAAAAAAAAATTAAAAAAAAAAGTAAATAAGTCATTTCTCTAAATTTAAAGACAAAAATTGGAGTTAAAGATTAAGTAGGTTTTCAATTGGCTATTGCCTTTTTTTTTTTTTTCTTTGACAAATAAAATTTTTAAAAAAAAACCACGCATGGTTGTCATCATTTGGTGCTCGGGGTCGGAGTCTGCGCTCGCCCCCGTGGCGTTGCTAAATCGCGAGGTTTTTCAGACAAAAAGGCTTTTGTGTTGAACAGAGCCCGTAGTGTTTCACAGGAAGCGTCGATGGTCGAGCTTCTCCGAAAGAAAGGAGCAGTTCTCTGGGAAACGGGTGGAATTTATGAGACGAGTAGGCGAAAAGGGGGGAAAAAGGAATTCTCCCTGCGTAGGGAGGATGGGTTAATATCGATGCGGAGAGAGATCACAGAGGGGAAAACGTGAGATTAATGGGGCTCCGTGCTCCCCCCTGATCCTTTTGGAAATAAGTAAGGGTAGAACCGGTGTGTACAGACCTTCCTGGTGTTGGCTGGGAGGCGAGGAGCCATGGAGGTTATTAATTAGCAGGTGATTAGTGGCGGATTGGTGAGCGATCACCGAGGTGTGGGCGCGGGGCGATGGCAGCCCAGCACCTGCCCTCGGGGAGCTCTCCCCGTGTAACAGGCAGTGTGGGGCTGTCCTGTGGGGCTGGCTGATGAAGCCACGTTGATTGTGTTGGAATATGTTTTAATTGCCATTAATTAGAGAGCAGAGTGTCAGAAAGGTGTCTCTTTGCAGGGTGTAATTGCCCCTTAGCGAGCCCGTCCCGGGGATTGCTGGGGTTAGTGTTTAAATGGGGCACTGGGGTTAATGGGGGGGGGCTGGGGGCTGCTCCCTGCCTGGGAATGGCCCCTGTGGAGGGGGGCAGGGGGGGCGCATTTGTGGGGAGGTGGGATGGGGGTTTGGGGCAGG